TCGGTGTTATGAAATGCTCGCCAAACGCTTCGTGTCTTATAAAAATATGTAGATAGCCTCATATTCACATAGAATATGATGAAACGTCTCACCCGTTCTTTAACAAGATCTCAATGAATCAGTACCGGACATACTCACGTTCTTCAGATGTCACCAGAGGGAATTATGACCGGTTTGCAAACATGTGACCAAATATAGGTTACTCCTTCTTGATTCCAGCAGTTTGTGTGCATTGCCGTAAGATTTTATAAATATTTTTGCTTGCCGTTGTCCTGCACATTGCTTCAATGGCACAAAAGAGGTTACAATGTTAAAATTATTTTTTCAACTTTTCAAAAGATTTTAACCTATGCCGCAAGAAAATTTTGGTGTATGTAGTTTGCACTTTCGTTAGCTTATGAAAGAAATATTGCAAAGATAGTGAAAGCTGTTAAAGCTGCCGCTCGCGTACAAAATTTTATTATTTTCCGATCCCTGAGAGGGCATTGCAAATCCCATTGCAATAAGTACAACGGAACTGCAAATTCAAATTGCTTTTTGAAGACTACGATCTTCAAGAAGTCTTCTTCGGTGATAGGCAATAAGTGAAAATAGTGCCGTAAGCAAAAGAGTACACGACGGAAGTGCAAATCCAAATTGCTTTGTGAACGCTTCCATCTTCAAGAAGTCTTTTTCGCTCTGGTAAAGCAATCCTCAGTTTGTCAAAAAAAATCAAGAAAAGCAAGTCGGGTTTACCTTGCATCCTAATAGGGAAAAAGTACAAATATTAAGTTGGCATATATTCTTCCAACTCGCAATATTGTACACTATACCCTGGCCTGTGACCGCAGCTATAGTGAATGACCACAGGCGTGAACGGCTATAGTGAAACAGCCCAGGTTGCGGCTGCTTTTTATTCCTACCTCCGCACTTCTTCCGTCCTGTCCATTTACACGCGCATTTGGAGGAAATTCCCTAATGTAACTGGTCATAAAAAGAATAATCGCCTTTTGCTGCCCATTTCAATATATTTTACACAGGAATTTCTGCGTAGTCTTAATTTAATTGTATCGTGTTCTGCGGTTAAATACACGGACATACGTGATAAGCAAAATAAAAAAAGCGCAATGTAAATGTAGTCAGAAACATATACATACTGCTTTGAAGAATTTATATGGACGTTGGTACGTGCACGCCCAAGCACATAGAGAAATTCACATGAATTTATTTTAATGCGCTATTGCATATGAAAAGTTTATAGCAATTTTTCAATGTATGTGTAAAAAAAAAAAAAAAAACACGTATTCTACCTCTGGAAGTACAAATGTACTTGCGTCTGAGTCATTTGTCAACATGAATATATTTAAGTGCCTTTGTTGGGGAATGTAAGCAATTTTACACAAAAATGTGACTTTTTTTTGCATTTATTTCATGAAAAAAATGCTTCACAACGTTAACGACTATAACTTTAGCTGTGAAAACTTTGCAAGTATGTGTAACAAGCGTACAACAAAGCAAGTCAGAAAATTATGTTAGGCTTTGAGCGAACATTTTCTACCCAACACTGTTACCCTGAAAAAAGGGGCAAAGAAGGGAGAAAAAAACTAAAATATCTAGACTCTACAATATAAAGAGGGCGTGACTAATTTTTTCTATTTTTGTAAAATGAAGTGGAAACGTGGAAGTGGGAAAAGTGTGTTTAGTGCAATGTACCAGTAATGAGAAAAAAACGCGGAAAGCAAAGTAGGCGTGCGCTTTGATTAATTTTGGTCATGCCTGAATTATTTTGCAGATTTCGAGACAACATCTTCACGAGGCGGGGGGGATGTTTACCAAACATACTACAGAATTAGGCACACGGACAGGTGGACAAACCAACAGACGAACACGCTTAGGTGCACTGCAAGTTTAACACTGGTAAAGTATATATATATACTTTATGGAATTTTTGAGGCTCGCTTCGTGACCCAATTTTTTCACAGTGCAGAACCGCCTATGGAATTGGAAATATAAGTTTTTATAGTTGTTCCCATTGTGGTTTAAAAACAGCGAGCAAAAAAACAAATTTTTTTTTTCTTAAAACAGAGATGGTCGCAGGCTATGTTTCGATTGATTGGGTCCAATACAATGCCAACCTACGTACAACAACTTCCTGTGTTGCTGCCAGCTTTGAAGCCGATAGCTTCATTTTCTGTGATCAGGAGAATATTTACCACAAACATTATACAGACAGACACTGAGACAGACGAAAGAAGAACGGAAGGACGTATTTAAATCGATTCAGAATTTAATACTGATCATGAATATGTATGCTTCATGGGCTTCTTAAAGTTATCTTCTGGGTGTTGTAAACGTTTGGATAAAATTAATACTCTCCTTACCCTTCGTTGATGGATACAAACATATGTGAAATGAGAGTTAAAGAGAGGTAGAGAATAATTCGGTTCAGAACGAAACGTAGATAGCCGCCACCTGTATTTTGACCTTTTGTTAAAAAAGGTCGTGAAACGATTGTCCGGTACTACTCGTTTAAGAGATTATATTTCACGAAACGCTTCGAGGCAAGCTTTCAGCCGTTCACTCTTCTAAGCCCAGATTCATGGCTTCATCTGGCAATTTATTTGCATGTCGAGAAGAGAAAAACCGTGCAAAAATTAATGGTTTGGAAGGCACACGAACTCGTGTTATTTACCAAACCGGCCGCTATCTACCTGAAAGTTTCACTACTCGAATACCGTTTGCAAAATTTAGTTACGAAATTATTTTCAGAAAGTAAATATAGAAGATTTCAAGTTACACATGAGTTAACTGAAAATTTGATCCTTTGTGTGGGTGTTAGTTATTCCAATTCAAAATTCTATCACTCGTAGAGAAAAACTCGTGCAATTATAATATTAGTTTGGGGAAAAAGTTTTGAGAGATTTGATTGATAGAAAAAAAACGATTTTGCGTTTCGTTTAAATTTTAAGTGTACAGTAATAGAAAGGAAAACTAATTCAACCTGTAGTAGTAGGGTAGCAATATGGAAGAGAGCATGTTGATGAAATAAAGAGTAGAAAACACATAAATAAGGTAACATAAGAATTGCAAGTGGTGGTTGATGTTACTTGGAGAAATATTTTCTAGTTTCGAATTTCCTATAAAGGAGTGATTTGTCTAATTGAAAAACAAATTCCTTCTCATCTGTTATCGTTGTAGTTGAAATTTATGCCAGATTTTTGAGAAATGCTATATGTTGCCAAATTTCTAAATAACGCGCTTTGTCACATAAGTAATGATAAGCGGTTGCTTGTTTTCTGATTTATATCTAGGTAGCGAGAATTTACTCGCAGTGCTTGAAAATGGTGGTATTTTTGAAGAGAAAGAGGTTATAGGTAATCTAAACGAAACTGATTATAGCTCAGAGACGTATAAGATCTAATACAACCATTAACGGACAATAATGATTATGATGAAAACCAAGACAATGAAAATCTTCCTTAGCGATTCTTAATGTTGCAACGAAGTAGAGAACTTACGTAGAAAAAGTCCACTTTAGAATGCAGTGAAGAAGGCAGACCTGTCCCCTCGATTAGGCGCACTTGCAAGTAGATTTCAATTATTTTATGCTCATCACCGAAGGATAACGTTTTTACCAAAAAGCTTGCAACGCCCAGAAGGAAGATTGTTTACAACAGACATCTCACAGACCTACAAACGGACACACGGACAGGTGGACAGAGGGACAGATCAGCAGACGGACAGATGGACAAACGGACAGATACACAGACAGCTTAAATCAATTCAGAATTTGATGCTGATTAAGAATATATATCTTTGAGGGGTGTCTGCAGCTTTCTTCTCATACGGGTTCCAAATCTTTTGACAAAATTAATGTATCTCTTATCCTTCATAATATAAAAATAAAAAATAACAATAACTGACCAGCAACCTAGATATCCAAAAGCAATCACCGGATAAATGAATCAAATATGTAAAGTATATAATCAAATCAATAACCGAAATAGTTATCTCATTTACGTACCATTATCATTAACCCTGTATTGTTGTCTCTATGATCTTTGGATTTCGAATTTGAATTTTATTATAATTTAGGAATATAGGAAATAAGGGACCACGCATGTAGCACGCACACAGACGCACAAACACAACCTTAAACATAACCATAACGAAAATTTCCCGGCATGCTCGGAAACGAACGAAGGTGCAGAGCATACCATCTTTGGGTGCAAAAGGTTCGAGAATGGCAGACCCCAAATAGAACCGAGTGAAATATTGGAGGGCTTAACCGCCAACAAAGAGACTTGGAGCACCATAGCACACTTTGTAAGCAGAGCGCTCAAGAGCTACGGCGACTTGAATGGCAATGGGTGGAGAACAGAGGGAGCGGGAGCCAATAGTCTATTTCACTGAGGTCCCTCCATAGGTAGCTTGCTAACGACATCCAGCCTCCTTGAAGTAATACCTAGCGGTAGTCCCGCGGGCGAGAATGGTGGAGGAAGCGTGTGTTGGGGGTTAGTTTCTAGTACGTAGGCGCCGTTGATGGCGAATCGTGCTTGCTGCTAGTAAGATCCAGCTCGCAGGAAAAAAAAACAACCATAAATGGAATACGGTGAACAGACACTTAGAAATTATAACCAAACAACACAGAAATTATAACAACAACAACAATAACAACAATCGTTAAAATTATTACAGCCACCAATTACCAAAATATCATCCAATGATATAAAAATAATGCAGAGGAAGAGTACATCAATTCAAATATTTCATTTAATTGATGCATGCATTTCACCCCTGTATGTAATTCCGCCGATCCCTTTTTTGAACTAGAGTGCAAAATATAATGAATTCGCATTTATTGACCACAATCAAGAAATTAAGAGTTTATATCTATTTCGTTTAACTGGTCTAATTCACATATATACATATATATATATATATATATATATAATAGTGTTTGTAAAACAAAAAAACATTTAAATAAAAATAAAAAATGAATAATAATTATATGAAAAGAAATCCAAGGATACCTTCAAATGCGCTAAAGTAATGAAAATATTTAAAATTGTATTGTGTATTAAACAAAAGTGGCACTTGTTACTGTGTGGCTAACGTCACTCACTTTTCATGAAATTCAGATCAGGCTGAATAATAAATAATAACATCTAAGACGCGTAGCGCTAATAATGGTTATAGGATAATGAATAATGAAGATATATATATAAATAGTTAATTCAGAATTGCGACGATATGAGACAGCTTTTTGGATTCTGAAGGCACCATTCGGGTTGTATAGGCTCGGCCGCAATACCGTTTTTAACTAAATTTTCGCGATGTAACCGTAAACGAGCTAAAGCCTTTTGCCAATTATCGCTTGGATTTGACCATAAACGTTCAGCTAAAGCGCTTGCGCGTGGCCATAAACGTTGATCCAAATTTTGTTCATCAATCTGCTCGGACCAAACAGCTGCTTCGGCCCCTAACACTTGAGATACGTAGCCTTTGGCAATATTTTCCATCTTATTTTCGTATACCCTTTGCCAGCCATTGTAAGGAGAACACCAATTAGTTTCCGCTTCAAGCCAACTAGATCCACCGCAATCAAAATATAAAGCATCACTATTCGAGACAATAATTCGAAAACCACGCTCTAATATGCCTAGCACCTGAGAGTCATTTTGTTCGGTCCAGATTTGAATAATATAACGCCTCTTGTTTAAATATCTGTTAATATGGACGGGATCGGTTAAAAGACTTGTCCATAAAATTATTGGCACTTGCTTGTTTTTAGCTACAGAATCAACGGTTCGCATTGCTTTCATTTGAAAATTTCCCCATAATTGCGTAAAACCTAAATTTTCTAAGTCCCAATTCAATCCAGTCATCCAATCGGCTATTGATTGTTTGTCACTCCAGCATGCAAAAAATACTTCATCACCGCCCATATGGAAAACGTCAGGATCGAACAGATTGAACATATCCTGATATATATCTTGAAGTACCGAATACGTATCGTTAATCGTCGGATCTAATTGCCCGCATGGCGGTTCAGGGCAGTAATTTGACCATGGTGTGGCCTTGAAACAAGCGGTCGCCGAAATTTTATTTTGCCAACCCTCGCAGACATGTGCGGGAGCATCAAATTCTGGCATAATCCTTATACCTCTTTGTCGACCGTATTCCACAATTTCAGTAATGTCTCGATGGGTATAAACTTTCCTTTGAGAATAAGCGCCCAGTTTATGTAATTCTGGCCGTGCTTTTATTTCCATAGGAAAACTCTGACTGTCAATAATATGCCAGTGAAACGTGTTTAGTTTTACCATAGCCATTGCATCTACAAAACAAAATAAAATTAAAATTATATAACAATTCATTGATTACAAATATATATATACATATATTAGTTTGGGGAAAAAGAAATCCATTATTTTTATATGAACTTCAGGACTTTATTTAACATGCTTCGGATTGTCCGATTTGGGTCAAATATGCACCGTTTTGTTGTATGATTTGTAACCATATATAAATACATATATATATGTATATATGTATATTAACATTACAAAACTTTTTTTTTGCATTTATTACTTCAAGTGTTCTAGCCGGCATGTACAACAATAACGTCGCCTGATCGAAGCTAAAGTTTACATTGGGGTTATGTTGGGCTTATATATGTATATCTGCTGCAATTTGTATTTTATTTTAAACGTGTCATCAACTAACGCTGACTTGACACGCCATTCATCATCTGTGAATCGAATGATGATTTCAGGTTATTACATCCATAATGAAAAAAAAAAAAATCAACTTCCCATTATATTTCGGTGATGCTTATAAAAATTGGAATCCAGGTCGAAAATTTTGTGCTATAGTGTTAGTATGAAAGGAATGCGCCCAAGATAATTACTCTTAGTATTTGCGATCTTACTATTTTCAATATATCGTACGCAGTTCTTCACACGTAGTTTTATTTGTACCGTTGTTATATAATCAAAATTTTCAAAAATGTACATAAGAACAAGTAAGAATATTATAGTCGGGCAAGGCCAACCTTTAAATACCCTACACCATATTAGCGAACCCAACTCCTATTTTTATTATGGAACACAAGAATTTTATCTGGTTTCTACATAAAGGCGTATTTATGGGGAAACGCCACCAAAACGCTACCTAATGTAGTACAAGTTTAATCCTTACATAAGCCAGGATCCAAATTTATACGCATAGATAGTCCAAATCTGTAGAATTCTCTTTTATATGGATGGGTTTCATCACCACTTTTCTATTCTATAAAGGATCAATTTTCATGAAAATCCTTATTAGGTTAGGATAGGAAAAATAGGCCGAGATGCTCCAAATTTGATACACTTAATTTTTGTAGGAAATTACTAATATGGATCAATTTCCATCATCACTTGTTAAAACTTAAACTTTCTTGCTCTAAAAAGCAGCAAATTTCGTAAAAATCCTTATTAGGAGAGAATGCAAAAAATAGTCCTAGATGGTTCAAAATTGATACAGTAAATTTTTTTATCTTAATTTACTATTATAATATAATTTTCATGATGAAGCTTTGAAAATTATGTGTTTTTCTCGTATGAACTTCAGTTTTTGTTATATAGGGGGAAGTTGAAAAATTCCTGCAGCCGGTCCAAAGTTTTCATACCAATTTAGAATGCCGAAATACTACTACTTAGCTACTTAGCCGAGGAATTTTGGAAATAACAGTATTTTTTCCATATAACGACTTTCCAGAATAAGACATTATACGGGGACTATGACTGATGGGTATAAAAAATTATTACAAAAATCATAGTTGCGCAGTCAACTCGTTTCCTTTTTTAAATGCGTCAATTCTGCAGCAATTGACCTGATGACTTTATGTTAAAATGCTCTACTGCTCGACTTTTTAAAAACTGTCTCTTAGCTATTCATGCCATGGGTTGCGCCTGTACTATGCATTACTAAGGATCCTTTGTGAAGAGCCCTTGAACTAGCCGTTCAATTGCTCTGCTATAAATCAGTCTTCTATCTTTGTACTGTTTACTGTGCAGATGACAACAGCTTACACAGCATCTTTATTGTTTACTGCAAAAACGAACTATACATAATAAAAAAAATAGACTGCAATTAAGATATTACCCAGCTGTTACGTCATCTATTAATGAAAATCTATTTCTATTTTCGTTATTCTTTGTTTAAGTTCTTGCATAGAACTCCTTACAAATAACAATGACTTAATTCAAGCGTACGGTTGTCCCTCATTGCCTCAATGCTTAAATTGTCAAATGTACACTTTTACTTACCTAAAGTTCTTTTAATAGATTTTACACTGTAGAAATGTCTGGCTGTATCTAACATTAAGCCTCGCCATCTAAATGCCGGTTTATCGCTTAACGAAACGTTACCTAAGATTTGCAATTCATGCTTTATATCATCATAAACAATTAATTGCGATAGCGTTTCTAAACCATGACGAATTCCAAAAAAATTTTTCGCTCTTATATCAGCTATGATAAAATTATCTTCTTTTGTAACGTTTAGCGTGTAACTTTCATCGGTGTTTAGAGTAAGTTTTGACACTTCTTTAAATTCGCTATTATCAATATTGATGAGAATTTTTATTGGATAACCACCTTTGTTTTTAATTTCCTTGTCTGGTAGTTTATTTTGTAGTCTTTCAGCAAAACGTTCTTCATTTACTTTCCACAAGTGAGCATATACAGCGGGACTTGTCGATGAATTAAAAAGAATATTACCCAGATCAATATGGAACAAATAGGAATCGTATATGACTTTGCCATTTGGCTTTGGCCATAGAGTGCCGATCGAATCACTGCATAACATATAACATACTGGCAAACTTAAAGCCCGCTTCAAATTCTCTTCATTTAGTTCGAACTTAACGCAATCGTTTGCAATGCATTCATATCCGTAGACCAAACTGAGAGAGGAGAAAGTAAAAATAAATGTATAAAAGAAGTAATCAAATCAATACACATATGCATATATACGCACTCTTCCGGTAATCCTATTATTAAATAAATATTTGCTACAAAGATTAAGCCAAATAGAATAAACAACGTTGCCATTTTCCTTGAAGATATAAGATGACGCAGATCATTGATAGATTGATAGGTTAGATGTATCACCGTGATCCCAAGAAAGACTAAAAAAAAAAAAAAGTAAAGAAATACATTTTCATATCGTATGAGTAACAAGCAAAAAATACTGTTAACATTGATAACTGTTCACAGTTTTTGTTACACAACCGTGTAAGTGTTGTAGGGATGTCCTTTGACCGGTTTTGGTCTTTTTCACTTTGTTGCTCTAATTTGTAGATAATATGGTGGGAATGTTTATCACACATGCTTCTACTAAAGACGGACAGATGAGCAGAAGAGCAGAGGTGCATTCTAAATTTGAAACTAGTTTTTGAAGTTTGCTTCCCCGCGTAATATAGGTATTAAAAAAAAAAAAAATGATGCTGATGTAATATTGGGTAGGTGGGGGATATTCTACTGGTATTACAGCATCGCCAATAGAATATGGATTCAAATGTTCTTTACATTTATCTGGTATAGTTTATGAATAATAAGCACAAAAAAAATATTTTATTCCTTTGGGAAAACGGAGGAGCCCTCACTTTACGTAGTACTATAGGCGTATCCTTCGATCAATTTGGCCGAATTTCGATACCAATCTGAGCGTAAGAAATTGCAATATTTGTGTCAAACGATAACTTCACTTTTGCGGCCAGGAGAATGTTTAAAACAGACATTAGATAGATGGACAGACGGACATGCTTAAATCGACATTGAAAAAAGCATATCAAAAAGATTATAAACTTTTAACAAAACACAACGCAAGCTCCAATGATATTTACACTTGAATTACAAAGATTGCAAATCGTTTTAACCTTTCGCGAACTGATAGCAGAATGAACAAATATATTGTAGCCACTTTTAAATTTTTTTAGTTTTTCCTTCTTCAAATGCTGTATGCGAAATAGCAGTGACAATCTGTTGTGAAAGGCAATAAAAAACTAATATTAAAAGAAATAATATGATTTGAAATTTGAAAGGGAAAAAAAACTTAAAACAAATTCACATAGAACAAACGGGCTGCCGTTGAGAGCAAATTCCCGTTATTAGACTCAAAAGAAGAGAGGGAAAATAAACTTATGTACACCCTTCACATACGTAAATGCATATAAGTCTGAAGAGTTTGAGTGACTTATTTAAAGCTGTTAATTAATTTAAGTACGTAATTCCAAGCAAATCTGTCTTATAAAGGTCGTACAAAGAAACAGTTGTAATCGACGAAAACATATATATATAAATATTAAAAACAGAGTTATCCAATTCAGTGGATTCAATAGTGAAGTCCAACTAACTTATCTATACCTTTTGTTTTTTTTTTTTTATATGAGCAAACGTTCAGGGGATAATATGATGATCGTCAGAAAGAAGAGAGGAAAAATAAAGAAATGGGGGAAAAGTGGCTGCAGAATGGGTAAGTGTTATGCCTTTCTTGATTGAGCTCTCGCTATAGCTGCGGCCAAACAAAACTCTACCGCGCTCGAGATTTAAACACTGACTTGGTAGTCATGGTTCTTACCTACCTGACTTCTCAGACGAATAATATCAAGGTTATAACCGACATGACCCCCCGCTTAGTTATATGTAATCGATAAGTGTAATTAGAATAAAATCTCAGTTAGAAGACCTGTTACCAGGAAGGACGTAATTGATTGAAATTGTTACAATCATGATCAGCTTATCTCAAGAAAACGATCTCAGACATGAATCGAAAATCACTATAGCCAATAATTTTACGGCTCAGATAGCTTAAGCAACTATGATAACTTGGGAGTTTTATTACTTTTGCCCACGAGCCAATAACTTCAATCAAAGGAGTTCACGTTACGTTTTGCGTATGTGCTACACGACACTACATAATGTAAGAATGCTTGGTACAATTAATTGTTTATTTATTTGTCCAATTTCAACATAAGTGTTTATATACGTTTAGATGTTTATTAATATGTAGCAGCTCACACTCAGCTATACACTCCAACCTAAGCAATCGAGCTCTAGTTAGTTAGCTATTGCTACTTTTACCTGTTGCATTCAATTCTCCCGAAATTTTGGATATATATACAACCTATCGCAAGCAACTCGCAGAATTAAAGACACGCCTTCCTTTTATACACATCATGGACGGATGAGGGGTATGTTAATTGCATCAAGACCTTTCCAAGGGCAAGAAAGAAACTTTAGGGACCACATGAAGTATATATATTTTTGATCGGCATTAAATTCTTAATCAATTTAAGTGTGTCCGTCTGTCCGTCCATATAACTTCTGTTTCCTTTCTCCTGGCCAAAAAAAGAAGCTGGTCTTGCATACCGACGGGTATTCAAAATGGATCGGTCGAAGGAAACGCCTACTGTAAGACGTAAATTGAAGACGTCTCTGTTTTTCCAAAGGAAAAAATCGGTTTCTTGCTTATCACTTATAAACTACAGCAGATAAATATGCAACAATTTGAACGTATATTCTATGGGCGATGCTGCAGTAATCGAAAAAATTGTTAACGCCTATCCAATGTAACAGTGTAACGATATCTAATTTTTTTTTTCAATACCTTTCTAAGGCGCAGAAAATTGTTGGCCGAATTCAAATTTCAAATGCACCTAAACATGTCGTCTCTTTGTCTCTCCATCTGTCTGTCGGCACAAATGTGTAGTATTTGTTGTCAACATTCTACCGCTCGTAAAAGTGAAGATGCCGTCTACAAATTTGCAAAAGAGTTTCGATATGATTTAAACTTTTCCAAGACCACGACTGCGAAACCCCCATACCTATGCATGAAAACTCTGAATACTTTTTCTTTCCGTGTTTTTTGCTTTTTGCGTATAAACTGTGACACATACATACACCATATAAATTTCAACTTTTATTATGAAAATAGAAAAAATCGGCCGGTCCCGCACAATACAACAGACTATGAAAATTTAGTTATTTTCTTTTTTTTTTCAGTGTCTTTCAATATAACGGTGATGGGTACAATTTTCTTAATAGTTTTATTCTTTAGATTAGGCCTACAGATGCGTATTTTTACCGAGCCCACTCTCAATTTCCGGCGGGCAAGCCCCCTTCTTAACGTTGAGCCTCTGTTAATTACTTTTTGTAACAATCGCTTTGAAATTTTGTTATTTAGTAAATATTTCGAATATGCGATTTAATCTGAATTCAAAATTTATGAATATACTCTCTTAAGGAAAAGACATAAATAAACACATTGAAATGTAATTTAACTCTTGCATTAATAATTGGTATAAACAATAGAATCACATTTCATAATGCTTTTGCTTTACAAATCGAGATAATTAAACCGAAGAAGTGACAACATATGACATTCTGGTTATTATATAAAGCGTAATTAATTTTGAAAACTATTTGTAGTAATCAAAGCTAGAGAGTTATATAATAGTTTACCTCTGTGGTACACGTACACTTTACAATATCTACAAATATAATCTAATATATATTATGAAATATATCTCATGTCATTGCAAACAATGATGACCTTAATAACGAGATTTTACTTAATCTAAGTATATATTTAATATTTATACGTACATATATATGAGGGTGTTTATTAGATTCTACCAAAAATTATCATAATTTGCTTAAGGTCATAATTGAACTTTTATTAGAATTAAACTAATTTAATGTAAATAAAATCACTTTTTTATTGCAAAGATTTCCATTTAATACACTAAAAAATATTGTCAATTAACATTGAAAGAAGTAAGATGTTAAGTTGCTCATCTCGACATTTAATTATAAGATAGATGAAGATTCAGTTATTCAATACGCCAATCATGCATAATGCCGTACGTATCAAATATCGCCTATAATAGATGCTTGCACTGCTTTCTTTTAACATATTCTAATATTCAAGTGTAAGGTGTAAGTGTATTAAAGTCCTTTCATTTGTTTTACAAGAGGTGCTTGCATGAATTCTCATCATTATTTTCATCTATAAAAGGCATTCATTCATTGTGAAAAATCGGTACAGAATATATTAGTCAAAATATTTTCCATCATTTTCTACAATTTCTGCCCATCTGCCCACACCGTGTGGAGAGAACGAAATGGCTTTGGCTGTGATCCAATCGTCGATGCATTTTCCCACCTTTTTAGTCAAACCATACTGTGTCGATCTGAAGAAGTGATAGTCCCAAGGTGTAATGTCTTGAGTGACTAAGTGAATAAAACTTATGGACGTCGAAAATGCAGTTTTGGTTGTTCCATTATTAGAAATGACTAAAATCATTTAACTTAACCTTTATCTATGTTGATACTACGCATTACCTTATCATTTTTACCAATAGATGGTCTGATCAAAATGCATGCAAGCATCTTATATTGTACAAGTTTTTTTTCAATTTGGCAGCATATCCTAAGGTTAGGTTTACAGGTATCCGCCTGAGTGGTCGAGTAGGCAAGAGTCTCGACTAGCAACTCAATGGTCGTGGGTTCAAATCTCAAGTTCGGTAGAAAGCCGAAAGCCTTAGATGCTAGTGCTTTAAGACTTTAATCTTAGAATTTATTCTCTGGCTAAGTTTATAATAATAATAATAATAGGTTTACAGATTATTTATGGTGCATAGAGACGATCTTGTCTAGTTTGGACGCGTTAGAATCTCAAATTTAACCAGTATAACTGTTTTGTAATAGTACACTAAATATATAAAAATTCTTCAAAAATAATTCTTGATTCTGAAAAGAATTCAATTTCTTTAACTCGAAATTCGAAAGGTATTTTTATACAGATTCACAACTTGTCCACAACAATATCTTAAGTTTACTAATTTGGACTAAGTAAGCTTCCAATCCGACTATATCTTGACTCTAACTGCTCTGTCAACGCCGTAACAAAGTTATGTTGAGAGAACTGATTAGCGTCAAATCTATCTTCATACCATTTACGATGCTAATCACAATCTTGCTTACCGAACTGAACCGAATTTGCACTCCCCCAGTGTAAAGCAAGGTCATTAAGTCGCGAAAACTAAAAAAAAAAACAAACAAGAAAATTATGGTCGGTTGCGATCGAAATTTTAATACCCATCGCCGTCGTCTTATATAC